TGAAATAATTGGGACAAAACGGATGATGCAATAAGCTGAAATAATAGGGACAAAACGGATGATGCAATATACTGAAATAATAGGGATCAAACGGATGATGCAATATACTGAAATAATAGGGACAAAATGGATGATGCAATATACTGAAATAATAGGGACAAAATGGATGATGCAATATACTGAAATAATAGGGACAAAATAGATGATGCAATATACTGAAATAATAGGGACAAAACGGATGATGCAATATACTGAAATAATAGGGAAAAAACGGATAATGCAATATACTGAAATAATAGAGAAAACCCGATGATGCAATATACTGAAATAATAGAAAAAAACTCATTTTTGCCGGTGGGGGTGTCTTAAACGTTTTCTGAGACTGTAAGAAATTTATTACCTCAAAAGCGAACCATGATATTTTAAAGTTATGAAGCACAAATTGCAACATCAATTTGCAATTGAGCTGGTTAGATGTAACCGTAAATTCTATGCTAACAGTTTCTTTTTTCCCGTATTTCTAGCTTTTTTTTTTTTTTTTTTTCCCGTACTTCTAGCTTGGGCTTACGGTCAAATCACGCTGAAAACACCGGTTCTCGTACGATCACCGAATTTAAGCATCGTAGAGCCAGGTCAGTATTTAGATGGGGGACCGCTTGGGAACACCTGGTACTGTAAGCCCCCAAAGTCCAACCCTTACCTCACAGTCGGTGGAGGGGTGTAAACGGTAGTGTCAGAGCTATGCCGCCCGGAACTTCGTTCCTGGTAAGGCCACCCAAGGCGGACAGGTCTGACACACACGCCGGCTAACAAGGGCTCTGGTGAAAATCCAAGGAGCGTCTGCATCGGTAACCGGCGGCTTCTGGTCGTTCCTGTCTCTGCGTCTGTGGGAATTCCGCGGCAAGCAAGAACGTTATCCGAGTAGGCCTGGGTACCCTACTTCTGTAATTTATCCCAAGAATCTTCTTCTCATAACAGGAAGAAGCCGGATCAATCCGCCCAGGGTGAATGCTGCATCAGTACAGTAGTAGTACTTCTAGCTTGTGGAACACCTTTCCTGCTCTATGCTTTCCAACCAACTTTAATCTTCAAATATTTAAATGCAATGTCAATCGCTATTTGCTGTCCTCCTGATTACTCTTTCCATTTCCCACTAATTATTAACGTTTCTGTTCCTAATTCTTCCACACCCTGTAACACTTTTTGTCTTAGTGACTTTACTGCCTTACATCGGGTGATAACTGATTTTTTTTTAAATTAGAGTATCTAGATAAATGCAGGAAATTACTGTAATATACTTTTCAAGCATACCACATTTTATCAGTGCGATAAAAAGAAGAACCTGACAAAAGAAGAAAAATTTACAATAACAAACAAGAAAAAGATTATTACCATAAAAGGATAATATTAAAATGCACCTATATTTAAAAAAAGATAGCTAAACCGATTTATCGGTCCTCTCTCATCAGCATTAAATCGAGGACAAAAATGAGGACAAGTATTAAAAATGAACAACCAAGAGCAAATTTTATTTGAAATAAAATATAACGCTTACAGGCTAATTACATTTATGCCCACCAATCACACTTTCAGAGAGATGGCTGGTGGGACTTAATGTAAATCGATTCCCAAATTTTCAAATTAAATTTTATTCTCGATCTTAGCTAATAATTAATAGAAACAGCGAAGCTTCTATTTTCTTCTTGTTTAAATAAGTCTGTTTTAAGAAAATTTAAAAAGGAATATTGTTTTGACTAATTTAGGTAATTAATTCCGTAATATTTTCGGTCATCGTTTGACTATTTTAGTAATATGAAATAGAAGGTGAAAACAACGACTGAATTTTGACTTGGCAGATATAAATTCATTCTATACAAACACCGTGAATTTAAGAATAATATTTACTTTATCAACAAAAATATTACTTATTTATGATGCCAGTTGTTAAAATTTAAATTGTAAATTAAGACATGTTTATTAAAATATGCCTTTAAAAATTGTTATGCAAATTATTTATCCCCGCCATTTGTGACTGATATATATATATATATATATATATATATATATATTCAGTGAAAACAGACAACTTTAAGGGTCCATTGGTGGTTATAATTTATTTCCACAGGGAATTTCTTTTTCCCTGGCTCATCAGACCACACTTACAAGGATGAAAAAAAAAATTTAAATTTACATATATTTTCTATACACTTTTGAGGGGTTGCATTAAGTTGATGTAATGTGATATAGAGAGTGGGGAGGATGATGACAGACATGGTCGAAATTAGAGAGGGAAAGAAGAGATAGGAATGATTTTAAATTTATTTTATTACAATATTTAATAGTAAGGAAGGGGTATAAAAACCAGACATTTACCTATATATATATATATATATATATATATATATATATATATATATATATAAAAAAAAATATACTCTTTAGTTGTGTTATATATATGGGATAAAGTGCTCAGTATCAGATAGAGCGTGTGTAAATATAAAAGTGAACATTGAAATCAACACTTAGAGACGACAGGCTGTTTCATGCTAGACGCAATCGTCAGGCCATATATATATATATATATATATATATATATATATATATATATATATATGTAGAGAGAGAGACAGACAGACACACACACACACACACACACACACATCTTTTATCTATAATGGACAATGCAAACCTATCGGGCTTTCGTCGTTTTATGTTCTTTTACTCGTTCTACTGTGTCGCATCTATACGCTGATTGATAAGTCATGCTTGAACGAATAATCAATGAATATATTTACAGTTCGTGTGTTTTGCCTTTATTTATCCTTGACCGATTTCTCTTTGCCGACCCACAACATTTGGCAAAAGGGGGGAGTTTTCACTTTTCTCACGTGAAACTAACTCGTCAGCAATTCACGCATCGGAATAGGTTAACATGAAAATGTGAAGTGGGTGAAATGTCGAAACGAAAATGTCAGATAAGCGGAAAGCTGCTTTTCTACACAAACTCATCGACTGACTTCTGATTCCAGGAGCTCTTTCGAGTGAGTCATCTCCCTTTGATCCGAATCAGTCGCTTACAATCTTATTCGACTGCCGACTTTCCAACCGGAAATATTCTAACTGCAAGATTTCCGGCATCAGCGAATTTAATATACTATCTATTCATCCATAAAAAAAATACAAATGGTACAGAGACTTGTAACGTAAATGGATATGTCAACAATATTTCCGAATTGCCTTCATTGAAAAAATATCAACTTTTCCCTGTGGTCAATTTGCTTGATTGATTGAAAAGTAATGAGTAGGCATACTAAATTTGGAATCTACTATGACAAAAAGTGGGGGTATCAGTTTACGAATGGATAGAAAATAAAACTGATCCCCCAATTAAAACCCACTTGTTAATCAAGTGTTGATGATCTACAAGCGGGATTGCCACATTGAGCTACCAAGTAATCCAGTTCCATTTAAAAGCCGATTGTAAGTAAATGTTGAATCTATTAATGGAATCTACTATGACAAAAAGTTGGGGATCCGTTTACGAATGGATAGAAAATAAAACTGATCCTCCAATTAACATCCACTTATTAATCAAGTGTTGTTGATCTAGAAGCGGGATTACCACATTGAGCTACCAAGTAATCCATTTAAAAGCCGATTGTAAGTAAATGTTGAATCTATTAATGGAATCTACTATGACAAAAAGTTGGAGATCAGTTTACGAAAGGATAGAAAATAAAATTGATCCCCCAATTAACATCCACTTATTAATCAAGTGTTGATGATCTACAAGAGTGAATTCCAAATTGAGCTACCAAGTAATCCATTTAAAAGCCGATTGTAAGTAAATTTTGAATCTATTAATGGAATCTACTATGACAAAAAGTTGGGGATCCGTTTACGAATGGATAGAAAATTAAAACTGATCCCCCAATTAACATCCACTTGTAAATCAAGTGTTGATGATCTATAAGCGGGACTGCGATATTGAGCTACCAAGCAATGCAGCTACATTTAAAAGTTAAGCGTAACTAAATTTTGAATTTACTATGACAAAAAGTAGGGGATCAATTTATGGGTGAATATCAAATTAAATTTATCCCCTATTTAATATCCACTTATTAATTAAATATTGATGATCTATAAACGGAATTGCCACATTGAACTACCAAGCAGAGAATGGAATTTGATCTTCAAAATTTCAATGTAATGTCAATCGTTATCTTAATTCTTTTTTTTTTTCTGTTCTCTTTCCTTAAAGTTTTTTTCTCACATATTCTCTAACTCAGTAACCACTTTCGTCTTAGTGGCTTTATTTCCTTGCTTGGACTGAGATGATAAAACAAAACAAAAATGAATCGTCAAAAAATGGTAGACATAGGTCTGGTTTAATTAAAGTCAAACAGTTTGACACCGGCCCAGTTTGCACTAAAGCCAAAAAGGTAGACGCAGATCCAGTCTAAACGAGAGTCAAAAATGTGGACAAAGGTCAGTTTTATTTATAGGTCCTGTTTGCACTATAGTTCAAAAGGTAGATCCTGTTTAGAGTAAAAATGGTAGACATAGATGCCATACTTCCATGAGGCGAATTGATGTTCATTTTGGCATTTCTATTCCGGATAAGCGAACGATTGGAGGTTCCGTGATTGTTCACTGTTTCGATATCTACTTGAACGGGAGGAACGGATTGACTCTCTCGAATAAGGGGTCACTACTTCTCCTCGTACGTGATCGCGCGAAAATAAACAAACCAAAGTTAATATCTTTTCCAGGTTATTTACAGCCAGAAAATACGTTTAGATTGTAAGAAAATTCTGGAGATTACAAGGAATTGTTGATACAAGTTCTACTAATTAACTCATAGCTGGGGAAGGGAAGAAGAGATGGATTCATACCTTTCTCATAGTTATTTGCGCGTAAGTGACTATAACGAACCCGATTGGAATTGAAACTCGGCTCTCCGTTTTCTAATTCTGAGCAGTTATCGGTTACACCACCCGTACATCACCTGGTATTCTCAAGTGGCCCCCCATCAAGGTAATGACTAAGCTCGACGTTTCTTAACTTCGGTGATCGAACGAGAAGCGGTATTTTAACATGTTATAGGCTGTAAAAACTTGTAGTCTTTAGTCAATCAAAGTAAAACAAAGTGATTTTTCTAAAGAAATTAATACTTTTTTTTTATTCATCCAACAGATTTTTGATCAATTTAAACGTTATTTTTAGTGGGTAATCATATTAAAGTAGACGTTCCGTTTATTTATTAAACAGTATATTATTTTCGCTTGAACGTTCGAGAAATTCTATGAAAGGAAAAAAAATACTCTCTGGCAGTATTCGAACCTGCACCCTTCTGGGAAGAGGGAGCTATCGTTACATCCGCTACGTTCTGAGAAACTGTCCTACGAAGAACCAATTCATTACTTTCCCTAGAAAAATTTTTTTTGACGCCATTATTTCCCAACTAGGCATCTACGCGGACGACACTACAATTTACTCCTGCCTTAAAAACAAATCTAGTGTCGCTGACAAAACTAACCTGGCCGTTTGTCTCGAAAAGGACCTCCAATCGGTTGTGAACTGGGGCCGTAAATGGCTGGTTAACTTTAGCGCCTCCAAAATAAAACTTCTCTCTATTAATCACCACAGAGATCCTTCCCTGCCACCTCCTTAGAATGTCTGACGCTCAACTTCTCGAGAGCACCTCTCTGCGGCTGCTCGGTCTCACATTGTCTGCTGACCTAAGATGGAACAAATACATTGAGTCAATTGCTTCGTCTACATGAAGTAAAGTTGGCTCCAAATTTTTCTCCCCGGAATCGATCCTTCAAATCTACAAATCAACCATTCGCCCTTGCATGGAGTATTGCTGCCATATATGGTCTGGAGTCCCTTCTGTTTGTCTCGGGGTTCTTGATAAGATCCAGAGACGGATATACAATATAATTTTCCCTGATCTGGCATCTCGTCTGCAGTCGCTCTCTCACAGGCATGCCGTCGCCTCTCTCTGCCTTTTTTACAAATACTTTCATGGTAATTGCTCCGATGAGCTGTTTTCGATGGTTCCCAGACTTCATGAATTCAAGCGCCCTACGAGGCTGGCATCCCGCTCTCACCCTTTCACTGTTGAAACTGTTAAATGTAGCCGCCTCTTGTACTCCAATAGCTTCATATCTCACACCTCTCGCCTGTGGAACTCCCTTTCCTATTCCCGTTTCCCTGATAGCTATAATCTCCAACTATTCAAATGTAATGTCAACCGACATCTCCAGTTGCCTTGATCTAACCGCTATCCTTCTCCCCATTATTTCCTCTATCTTTCCTATCTGCTCTCTCTCCAAATCCTTTATAACCCCTTTCCTGCTAGTGGCTTCCCGTCAAGATAAACACTCAGTTGTGGAGCAAGCTGAGTGAAAAAAACACCCCACCTTGAGAAAGAGAGCTATTTATGGTGCCATGGAGCATCTCATTGTGTTCAAGTGGGATAGTCCATTCCTTGGGCTGCTGGTACATGAGTGGAGGTATTTCTGTATAAATACCAGCTAGATTCATCAGTTAGTTTGCAGGGTTTCTATTGAGTTACAACCTGCTTTATTTTTGTCTGCCAGCTGGACGCTAGCTGGGACCCTTACGCCGGTAAGTGCTGTTTATTGTATTCTTATTCTACAGGGGTGAAATGCTTAAAGAAAAAATTCGCTTTGTTTACGTTTGAATAGGAATCTGTTCCGATATGAAAAAAATCAGGTGATCTATGACGAGAAATGTTTCGATTAAAGGTACAATGTCGGCCCTTGTGTGACAGATTCGGATCAGAAGCTTATCCAATCAAACCCGGGGCCCCAAACACAACTGGAATTATTAATGTTCTCATGTACGGCATTTTTGAGATTTCCACTTTAAGATCCTTGTATTTTGATAGTTTTTTTACAGACCTTCAATGATACCTTACAATCTACAGGGACTGTCATGTCAATAAGTGCATTTTGTTTGTGAGATCTTTGATCACGATGTCTGGGCGATTAGCTTTGATTGTTGGATTATTAGTAGTAGTAGTATACAAATTTCTTTCCTGGTCCCAATCAGAAACCTAAGGTCATTAATGACCTCATGGCATTTTCCGCTGATTATTTCTGTGAAAAATAAACGAAAATCACACATTTTACAAAGGTAAAGCTCTTCGTAATGAGGGAGCTGTACTTGAGTACAATTTTCTGTATTTCTTTAAGGCCTGGGCTACAAGGAATCCTTTCAATAAGTTTATTGGAACCTTTTCCATTCAATCTGAAGTTTCCAAGTACAACTTGCATTATTAATGTCCTCATGTGATACATTTTTTAAATTTCTACTTCAAGATCCTTGTATTTTGATAGTTTTTTCAAGATCATTACAATCTGTAGAGACTTTCATGTCAATAAGAAAGCTCATTCTATTTTTGTAGTCTCTGATCCTGATGCCTGGGCGATTAGCTTTGATTGTGTATTTTATAGTCCCATAAAAATGTTACAGGTTTTATCTCTGCAACTAGGTTTGGGGGATATTCATATCATTTTCTTGCAGTTTCCTTCCCGGAAAAGTTGCATATTTTCAAGTGCAGATATTGGCCCACTCTCTATCATGCTGAGTTTTATATTTAGTTTATATTATTCAACCTGATAAAAGATGGCTAATTGTTTCCTGATGTTTACCACAGAATCTGAATTTAAGTTAATACAATTTTTCTGTATGTGTGCTTGGTAATTTCTAATTAGCAAGTATTTGTTCTGTGCAGCAAGAATAAAAACTTTGGTTTCAACTTTTAACTCAGCACCACGTAGCACTGATGAGTACGGGGTTTGTCTCCATCAGCTTGTTTGGTACAGGCAAAGTATTGATCATGGAGATTTATCTTGCCATCGTTTTTGCATTTGGTACATTGCATTTGCTTTGGATTTCTTTTTTAGAATCTTTGCCGCTGCAGTAGATGTATTGTGGCGTATTTGCGCTTCTTTAACCCCTTCAAATTCCTTTTGAGATTTGTTGGTTACCTTTATTACTGAATAACGTTTCTCTTTTCTTTCATGGTCTTTGACACAGATTATCATCCAGTCTCCTTTAGTTTCCAGATATCTTTAAAGACTGTTATGGTTTTATAAGAGAGTTCTAGTTGAACTAATCCTCTACCTTCTTCGGATCTGAACACATACAGACGATCAACATCAGCCTTAGGACGATGCATGAGGTATCCAATGAAAAGCTTTCTCCTTTTGACATCCATTCACTTAATGTAAGTTATGGTCCATTTTTTTGTATTTCTTTAAGGCATTTTTTTGTATTTCTTTAAACCACAACAGTCTTTAAAGATACCTGGAAACTAAAGGACACTGGATGATAATCTGTGTCAGAGACCATGAAAGAAAAGAGAAACGTTATTCAGTAATAAAGGTAACCAACAAATTGCAAAGGGAATTTGAAGTGGTTAAAGAAGCGCAAATAAGCCACAATCCCTGGAATCCATTCAATGTGTCTACTGGAACCTTTTCCAATCAATCCGAGTGATCCAACTACAACTGGTATTACTGGTGTCTTCATGTGCCTCAATTTTTAGATTTCTACTTCAAGATCCTTATATTTTGATAGCTTTTTGAAAATCTTCAAAGACACATTACAATCTGCAGGGACGGCCATGTCAATAAGAAATCTCAGTTATTATTATTTCATCCTTCAATATTATTTTTTTTATTATTATTTTTAAAGGAGTGATGTGGATAGCATTAAGTTGGCTTGTAAATAAGATTAGAAGCCTTGAAGCAAAAGTGATAATTTGCATTCTGCTATTTCCTCTTAATCATAATTTAATTTAAATTTCATTCAATTAAGATAACTGGATTCTTATGTTATAGCATAAAAATGATGTCATTTCCAATAGATTATTTAAAAATATTTGTTTAATTCAGTCATAATTTTCTTGTTTACCGATTGAATTTTATTTTATTGAATATTGTTTCGTTTCGTTGAATTATTTCTTTATTTTTTCTGTTTTACAGACGCTGATTACTTTTATCGTTAATAATGGAATTCATTATTTAATTAAACTGTATTTGTGCTTGATTTCAACTGATCCCCTTGTTTGATTAAATCTATTGTTTTTGTTTTTAGTCTGTTTTTTTTTATTATTAAATGTTGTCGATTCTTTTCTTCGTTCAGTTCAAAGAGGTCGTCAGAAGAGATAAAACTAAACATATCTGTTGAGTGAAATAATTACAGCTGCAGACGACAAAGAAAAATGCGACACAAAGATGCCTAAAAAGGGGAAATATCAAAGTAACTAGCTATTATTCGGTATCAATTAGATGCGCCGTCCGGCAACGCCATCCAAGTCAGCAAGACGTGATGATTCAATGAAATGTGGAAAAGAATCCTTAGTTTAATTGTGATAGGAAAGGGTTCAATAGGTAAGAATCGTTAGCTTCTGATAGGTAAGAGGCCAATAGGTAAAATTCCCTAGTTTCTGATAGGTGAGGGGCCAATGAGTAAGAATCCTTAGTTTGTGATAAGTAAGGGGCCAATAGGTAAGAATCCCTAGATTCTGATAGGTAAGGCGCCAATGAGCAAAAACGCTTGGTTAGTGATGAATAAGGGGACAATGGGCAAAAACGGTTAGTTTCTGATAGTCAAGGGCTCAATGAATAATCATCCATAGTTTCTGATGTCAATTCATAAGAATGCATACTTTCTGATAGGTAAGGGGCCAATGGGCAAAATGCTTAGTTGGTGATGAATATTGGACCAATGTTTAAGAATCCTTCGTTTCCACGACTACTATCTACTACAGTGCTTTCTGCATTCTGTTGAGGTTTCTTCTAGTTAATTATAATTATCTCAAATCCTCCTAATTTATATCACTTGTATACCCTTGCTTCTAATGCTTTAGGTGGAGCGGCTTGGGGATAGTAGTCGTGGCTCGTGGGGGCACAGGCCTGTGGGTAAAAGAGAAACTCGGATATCGAGTCTGATTCGATACCACTTCGTCACTGAGGCCCTTTGGAACAGTTGGTATGACGTTTGCCTGATAACGTAACTCTCCGGGTTTCAATTCTCGGTAGTGAATACGCACTCC